TTGGCTGTGGTCTCTCCCACCTGTTATGGGAGTGACAAGGTGGTGAGCTATTCTCTTTTCTTGGACCAAGTTCTGTTGGAGGAAGGTCCAAGGTTTTGAACTACACACAGCTCTTCTCCAGGTCCGGGGAAAGAAATCGGAGGGTTGCACTCAGTATGAGTTGGGAGAGATCGCTGAGCACAGGGTTAGACTGGTGCAAAAGGAGTTTCAAGGGGGCCCTTACGATTTTGCAGACAGGTGTCTATTATGAGAGTGGCTTGTAGCCAGGGGGAGTTTGGCTCCTGAAATGAAATTAATAGGCAGCAGGTTTAAAACAAATAAAAGGACGTTCTTCTTCACGCAGCGCACAGTCAACTTGTGGAACTCCTTACCTGAGGAGGTTGTGAAGGCTAGGACTATAATAGAGTTTAAAAGAGAACTGGATAAATTCATGGTGGTTAAATCCATTAATGGCTATTAGCCAGGACGGGTAAGGAATGGTGTCCCTAGCCTCTGTTTGTCAGAGGATGGAGATGGATGGCAGGAGAGAGATCACTTGATCATTGCCTGTTAGGTTCACTCCCTCTGGGGCACCTGGCATTGGCCACTGTCAGTAGACAGGATACTGGGCTAGATGGACCTTTGGTCTGACCCGGTACGGCCTTTCTTATGTTCCTGGATTGATCCCAGGCTTTGAAATTCAGCAGGGAAGAATTGTGGGGAGAGGAGCTCTGCACAGACCAGGCCTGGGGTTCTGCGTATTAGGAGCTGTCAGGCCTTGGGCCGGTGGGGTGTGTGGTAGGAGTGCCACCTTTGATTACCGTGATGTGAGACCTGCTGGTGGTGGTGTCTGCTGACGTGCCCCTGGCATTGTGACCAGGGCAAGTGAGAGAAGAGGGGCTGATGCGGAACCATCTGCTTCTGAGCTGCTGGTTCTCTGGGAGCTTTAAGGGGAGTTTGAATCCCATCGCAGGTCTAGGCTGCATGCCCAGGTTTGCTCCTGGACTCTGTCCTGAGTGCCATGGTGGATGCTATAGTGGATGCTTAAAAGCCCTGATTGCGTGTGTTAAATTTCCGGAGACAGCATGCAGGGCTCAGCGAGGTCTCCTGGCGTTGCTTTTAACTCCAGAATACAGACTCCAAGGAGGTTTGTGCACAGATGGTTGCGAAAGGACCATTGAACAATCTCTGGTCCCGAGTGTCTGCTTGGAAACGCTGTGGGTGGACCAAGAGATGAGGCAAAAGATGGCAAGACTGACTTTCCAGATCCGTACTGTGGCACTGCTGAGCCTGGCTGCCTCTACTAATCCTTTTGCCAATCCATTTTAATCTAGTTCATTCATTCATGTTACTCATGCCCCGTGCCTCAGTTTCCCCACTGGCAAAAAAACCCACCTTTATGTAGGACGTGAGGGTAGATCAGGTAAAGTTTGCACTTTGCTTTGGAAAAGCTCATTGCCAGGATTCTGAATATCCGTTCTGTCTCTGAATGCCGAAAGCATGTTCTGTGCTGCCTGCAAAACAAGTTACAGACTCAATAGGTTCCCCGGAAAGAGTACTTTAACTTACCT